GTTCTCACTATAATTTAAAGTTATATAAATCAAATGGATCCATGTTATAAGTCTAGAATTCACAGTCCGCGCAGACAATAGGCTGTGAAGAATTAAAAAGGCGAATACGTACCAATAGCACACCATTGTTATCATCACGTGACACTATGTACCAATAAATCATCAATGTTCTCATCATGTGACGACATGACTAAATGCCAATAGATCATCAATGTTCTCATTACGTGACGACATGACTAAATGCCTATAGATCATCAATGTTCTCATTACGTGACGACATGATTAAATGCCTATAGATCATCAATATTCTCATTCCGTGACGACACGACTAAATGCCTATAGATCATCAATGTTCTCATTACGTGACGACATGACTAAATGCCTATAGATCATCAATGTTCTCATTACGTGACGACATGACTAAATCCCTATAGATCATCAATGTTCTCATTACGTGACGACATGACTAAATGCCTATAGATCATCAATGTTCTCATTACGTGACGACATGACTAAATGTTTTAAAACATGAGAGAATATTATCTTTAACACATATATACAATAATTAAACAGTTGATCCGCTGTATAATATTATCTTTAACACATATATACAATAATTAAACAGTTGATCCGCTGTATAATATTATCTTTAACACATATATACAATAATTAAACAGTTGATCCGCTATATAATATTATCTTTAACATGGATATACAATAATTAAACAGTTGATCTGCTGTATAATATTATTGTTAACACACATATACAATGATTAAACAGTTGGTCCGGTTGTATAATATTACCTTTAACACACATATACAATAATTAAACAGTTGATCCGCTGTATAATATTATCTTGAACACGTATATATACAATAATTAAACAGTTGATCTGTTTTATAATATTATCTTTAACACATATATATACAATAATACAATAACAGTTGGTCCGATGTATAATATTATCTTTAACACATATATACAATAATTAAACAGTTGATCCGCTATATAATATTATCTTTAACATGGATATTCAATAATTAAACTGTTGATCTGCTGTATAATATTATCTTTAACACATATATATACAATAATTAAACAGTTGATCCGCTATATAATATTATCTTTAACATGGATATTCAATAATTAAACAGTTGATCTGCTGTATAATATTATCTTGAACTCATATATATACAATAATTAAACAGTTGGTCCGCTGTATAATATTATCTTTAACACATATATACAATAATTAAACAGTTGGTCCGCTGTATAATATTATATCTAACACATATATGTAATAATTAAACAGTTGATCTGTTTTATAATATTATCTTGAACTCATATATATACAATAATTAAACAGTTGGTCCGCTGTATAATATTATCTTTAACACATATATACAATAATTAAACAGTTGGTCCGCTGTACAACATTATTTTTAACACTTTTTTAACACAGAGATAAACACTTTAACACAATTTTATCTCTGGTGAATAAAAAATCTTTAACATAAATATACAATCAAACTTCTAATGGTTCTCTCATTAGTAACTGTCAGAGTCATGTCTTAAAAGTGAAAAATATTGACCGGATACAAATGTCTGTGGTGTATTTTAGAATTGGAAGAAATTAACTCACGTAATTCATGTACCTTTCAACTTGACACTAAGGCCTGTAATCCGTCAACTTTGGAATTATTTATAGTTACAACATCGTCAGTGTAACGGCGATGTAAATCAGGTAAGGGACGATCGTTGTTGTTACACTTGTTTTTCTGTATAACTTACATGTAAATCGGTAAAGTCCCATTTCGGTAACCATGGTAACTCCACTGATTCGTGTAAAGAAAGAGAAAACCTTCGAGAATAAAGCAACTTCGGGAGGCTTTACTAAGGTATCTAGGAGGGGTGGAAGGAAGCTCTATCAATATCAAGTGGTATTGTAAGGCAACATGTGGAGTACTGTATATAGTCACTGTCTACTTAGAAAAGTCAAATACCTTCATTGCGAACATCACACGATGTGATACTGAACTCCGGCTTCACTGGCACAAGTAGATAAGAAAGGTAACAAATCCCTTTCTGGACGGGATGTCGGCATCCCCCCCCCTCCTGCTAACACCCGGTATCCATCGTAAAGCTGGGGAGACTGAAACAAGTGGAGTTACATGTCTTGCTCAAGGACACAACTAACTGACTCGGACCACCCTCTGGCTTGCAACTCTCTGTGTCATCTTTGTGTCACGCTGCCCAAACTGTGTGTCTGAGCATCGTCGAGTGTTGACTTTGGTGGAAGGGACTATACTAGAGACACCAAGCCCTTGTTTGTTACTCAAGAGCCATCTGCGCTAGCCGTCCGTAACTCAGATATGATAAACTACAGGGAAGGAATGTAGCCAATACCAACAACTCCAAGGCCACTCTTTTACCAATGAAAAGTTAGATTGTTCGGTGACGAGATTCAACTCGCAGCTTAGGAGTCTACTGCCCTAACCACCAGACCATGATAGGCCCTAAACTCTTGAAAAACTGAGAGAGGAGACCATTGGTTTGTCCAAGTCCTTAGCATGTTAAAATCTTAAAAAATAACACAGTAAGTAGAGTTCCAAACAATACAACGAATATAAGAATATACAACAACAATACAACGAATATAAGAATATACTACAACAACACAACGCATATAAGAATATACTACAACAACACAACGCATATAAGAATATACTACAACAATACAACGAATATAAGAAAATACTGAAACAATGCAACGAATATAAGAATATAATACAACAATACAACGAATATAAGAATATACTACAACAATACAAGGAATATAAGAATATACTACAACAATACAACGAATATAAGAATATACTACAACAATACAACGAATATAAGAATATACTACAACAATACAACGATGTATTAAGAATATACTACAACAATATCACGACTATAAGAATATACTACAACAATACAACGATGTATTAAGAATATACTACAACAATATAACGAATATAAGAATATACTACAACAATACAACGATGTATTAAGAATATACTACAACAATATAACGAATATAAGAATATACTACAACAATACAACGATGTATTAAGAATATACTACAACAATATAACGAATATAAGAATATACTACAACAATATAACGAATATAAGAATATACTACAACAATACAACGATGTATTAAGAATATACTACAACAATATAACGAATATACGGCTCGTTTGTTTGTTTTGTGAACAAAGCTACGCAGTGGGCTATCTGTGTTGTGCCCACCGATCGTATATTTCTTTTGTGAACAAAGTTACGCAGTGGGCTACCTGTGTTGTGCCCACCAGGGATATCGAAATCTGGTTTTCAGCATTATAAGCGAACAGATTTACCGCTGAGTGCGCAAGGCACATTTAGATAGTTAGGTGCGCGCGCATTTTCGGGACAGATAAAAACTAAGTATTATTATAATAAATCTATCAACATCAGAAACACTCAAGTAAGTTGAAGCCCATGTATAAATGTGAGTTAGCAGTAAGTTTACTCAGTATGTACACTTATGTTTCTTTAATTGATTCCGATAGTTTATTACTTGCTCTCCTCTATAGTTCACACTATTACGTTCCAACAACATTACAAATTCTAATTTTGGCCATTTTTTTAACTCTTCAAGCACTTCTCTCTTCTTTTTTTATCGACACTTCATTAGTGCTACACGTATTATAAATACGTATAAACTTATTTCTGGGACACTTCCCATGGATGCTGGCGCTTAGTATAAAACTATCTGATTACAGCATGCATAATGTACTAAGATCTTTTTCAGTTACATAGATTTCGGTGTCCCCCAGTGGCACAGCGGTATGTCTACGGACTTACAACGCTAAAAACCGGGTTTCGATACCCGTGGTGGGCAGAGCACAGATAGCCCTTTGTGTAGCTTTATGCTTAACTACAAACAATACATAAAAACAAAGCACACTGGTATTTTCAAACTCAACGTTACTTTATGTTGTACATGACAAGGTCAAAACCCCGACCAATCAATACCGACTAGAATAATACTGTTAACTAGACAGAGAAGAAGTCAGCAGCCCACGCGGTGGGATGGACTGTCTACCATAGTTATAACGTTCGAAGGTTGTATCTTGAGATAAAGCGGTCCGGCACGCCAACCACTAAGCTTTGCTTGCCACCACCATATACGGACACACACGTTAAAAAGTAAAATTTTATAAATTGTTTTGTTTGCTGACAAGCACAAAGCTACACAATATGCTACCTGTGCTTTGCCCACCACGAGCAACGAAACCCGATTTTTAGCATAATAAGCACTCAGTATTACCGTTGGGCCACATGGTATTTTGAAAGTGTACCACTGAAATTCTGAACGTCAAGCACTGTATGGGTATATCCCTGAGGATCGTTGATTTTCTATATTTAAAACGTTTACTCAAATAAATAAAAAATATTTTGTGAATTATCTTTTTATAAACTCTGTATTTATGTTGTTTATAAAATAATTTGAATGTTTCACAATTATTATAATATTCTCCATTTCATTTTGATGGGTATTGTTTTTTAAGAACATGAGCATTGGTATTATACGATAGGTCTCGTCAGCATATGGAAGATATGTGATTGACACGTTATCAAATATTTTACTTCGGTTTCACCTGTTATGCTCTTAGAAATACTATCATTTTCAGAGATAAAAATAATTCATACTAGTTCATTAATTTATTCGTGATTGAATATAAGCTAAGAAGTGGCAAAATATTATTTTTTGCATTTAATCAATCATTTAATTTGTAAGTTTATTATCGATATTTAATCTGTTTTAATTTCTTTTCTTGGGGCATTCCTATATAAGATTTATACTGCTACTCCTTGGTCGAGTTCCAATTAGTCGATCACTGGCACGTGACTTCTTACTAGACCACTCACGAACGACTTCAGTTCATGGAATTTTCCACTAGTTTTACAGGGGGGATGAAACTTTAATTTTATCGAAAATCGTAAATATTTGATAAAACAGAAAAAAAGACGTGAAGCATTTAACGTGTTCAAGATGAATCGACACCAGAGAAATAAGGTTCCTCCTAAACATAAAAGCAGAGCATTGCCTCCGAGGAAAGCTAAAAACGTAAGTAAGTTATGTGTTAAACCAGAAGCTTTCGGTCTGACTGCTTTTTATCAAGCTGCGGACTTAAAAGCTGAACCAGGTGACATAGTTGAAATTGATCGTACGCTCTATGCACACTGGGCGATTTATATTGGGGAAGGAAACGTAATTCATGTTTGTGGACTGAACAACGAAGATATTGCTACGGATACCGCTGTTGTTAGGGTAGCAAAGCTAAGTGATGTTGCTGGATTAAGTGGTGTCAGAATTAATAATAAAGACGTTCCAGCTAAAGAGCGTAACCTGAAGGCGTTACCACCAAAGCAAGTGATAGCGAATGCATTAGCGTGTTTGAATAAATCTGTGGAATACAACTTGTTAACACGAAGCTGCGAACATTATGTTACAGAATGGAAATATGGAGAAGGTTGGAGTGATCAGGTTAGTATATATATATTATATATAAATAATTTAGTAGTTATTACAAACTTAACATACTAGTATCAGCAAAAATATTAGTCAATTATACAAATTATTAGGCCTAGTTAGTTTAGCCTGGGATAGTAATACCATTAGTAAGAACTAATATTGTGTATTATTAATATTAACTTACAAGTCAGTTACTGACTCGTATTGCACTTGTAATCATAGCCAATAATCATGCTATACTGTAATATATAGTAATACTAATAGCAGGATTGTTTACTATGACTATAATATGCAATACTTTGTAAGTTATAACTTACAGTGTAAAGTATTGTTATAATTATAATGACATATATTAATGTTAATCTATTGCCTGAATTAGTGGTATAATTTGTAAGTTCTAATAAAGGTAGGTATATAGTTTAACTTTAAGTGAATCGGATACTTTTCATTATTTTAGTTATAAACTGAGTTAAATTAATATGCAGTTACTTTGTCTTCATTTTAAAGAAAACTCGCTTTTTTTAGGCGTACATCTGTAATTATAATTTATATGTCTTATAACATGTCCTAGGACATTTAACCTTCTTTATTAAAACTAAAGGAAATATCCCGATACTTAAATATGCTATATTTTATATCATCAATTGTTTTTATAACATTTTAGGCCTCTGTTGCAGTGAGTGTAATGAAGACACTTACTAACGATTACGAAGCGGGCCATAGCCACCTCGTCAACAGCCTGAATACAGTTCTGAACTCCCCAGTTTCTCCGAGCCCCAAATCAACACCTACCACTCAAACTTCTGCCCCAGATTTTACCCGATGAACAACAAAAAGATATTGGACTGTGGAACGTGCATCTCGTTTATAAATTATATTGCGTTAAATTTGTGATAGTCGGTGAAATATTGACCAGCATACTTTAATGTCGCCAGTTTTTGAGTCATTACCTAATACGATGTTTAAAAAGAAACATTTGATCTGTTTTTTGTACACGTTGTTTTTATTTGGTTGATATCAGCACAACTTTTTATATTGTCGTTTTTAATTTGTTAATGCGATGATACGAAAGTATAAGGCTTAGTTATGATGGAAATTGGAATTGGGAGATTTTAAAAATAATGACTCGTGAAAGTAAGACGAAGTTATTTATGTGTGTTTTTGTCGTAAGGTTTTGTTGATCGTTAAATAAAGAACAGAGGTTTTAAGGGTGGCGCTCGACAATGGTAGCGACCTAAATATATGAATATTAAAAAATAAAATGTTTTTTAACTAATTCACCCTTAATTCTTAACATTCGTATTACAATGATATTTATATTATTGGATTTTTAATAACATTTTCAGTTCTGATCTAGAGGTCAGAGGGAATATTTCTAAAGATATTATACTGGAAAAAATTGTCGACTAAAAAATCTGGATTTGATACAAATAACAATTGCACTAGAAAAATGAATGTGAGAAAGCAACAATAAAGATGTCATTTGGAAAAGTATTAATATTAATTATTTAGTTGAAAAGATGGCGTTGTGATAGCATAAAAAATCAGTATTGTTGTTTCTTGGTCCCTTGTTCTTATAATTGCTCGGCGTAGTTCATGATGTGCCAATTTTACCCCCTTTTTTTTCATAAACTATAATAATCGTACGTTTTGATGAAGGGAATAAAATTTTTCATATAATAGCTAAATATATTTCGTGACGCGCAAAAGAAATTGTATCAGAAAGTGTTAGTGGAATAAAAATATGTTGTTAAAGCTGTTTAAAAATTAAATTAATAAAAATATGTTTCGTGCAATGACGTATTCCTCACGTGGCTTTGCCATTGTACATATTTTAATTCATTGTACCGTATGTAGTTTCACATTTGTCGGCTCCTAAAGCTTCCATTTTAGAGAAGCTTGTCATGTATGTCTTTTTATTAAAATAATTTCTATTCAAACTCTAGTTAAAAAGCTAACTTATATGCATAAAAAATGTCCATTTCACAGACACTAAATAAACGTTTCCCAATATATTTTACCACTGAACAAGGAACCAATAAATTATGTATTAAATGAACAAGGCCACCAGATTGTTTTAATTAACACTGAACAAGGACATCAAGTTGTGTTTTAATTAACATTGAACAAGGACATCAAGTTATATATTAACTGAACAAGGACATCAAGTTATATATTAACTGAACAAGGCCACCAGGTTGTTTTAATTAACATTGAACAAGGACATCAAGTTATATATTAACTGAACAAGGCCACCAGGTTGTTTTAATTAACATTGAACAAGGACATCAAGTTATATATTAACTGAACAAGGCCACCAGGTTGTTTTAATTAACATTGAACAAGGACATCAAGTTATATATTAACTGAACAAGGCCACCAGGTTGTTTTAATTAACACTGAACAAGGACACCAAATTGAGAAATGCACGTTAGTACTGTTATGTAAGTAAAATTTGCCTAAATAGGTTTACATCAATGATATCAAGATTTTCAAAAGTTGTTCTAAATCGTTATTTTAGCCGATTACTGAACGAATCTGTTAACAAAGATTAGGAGAAACGTTTATTTCTGTAGCGTCAAATGTATTGCATAAACCAAACAATAATTAAATCTTCCGCTATCGTGTAATATATATATATATACAATGGTACTACTCGTTTCCACTGCTATGTGTTTACAAGATTCGAGTTAACCTGAGACACCCCGAGTAACGTGGAGGACATAGTTCGGGCTTTGGAGAGAAAGAGGGCAAGAAATTCGAAAGCCTGAATTTTGGACCATGGAAATATATTTTCTACTCAATTCGCAGTATTTAATAGGTAGTGGAGGTGAAACTGTAAGGTGTATTTACACCAAACTTTGGTGTTAATAATCTTCCAGTGTATCTTGCCCTTGCTAGTAGTGCCTGATCTGGTAAATTCCAGTCATCTTGACGGACAAATGCGTAGGTCAAAGTGCACTTTAATAGCTTCTGATGAACACAGAGCCGCGAATAACGAGCACGGTGGCTCAGCAGCCAGTCTGAGGGTTTATAATGCTATAAATTAGATTTCGATACCCTCGGTGGGCACAGAAGAAATAGCGTATTGCGATTAGCAACACACAAATAATTACTGCAGTTTATTTATATCTTAAATAAAGCCCTGGTGGTCATAAAAATAACTAAACCACGTAGATACTAACATCTACCTAACGTCCATAAATTGATTTTGTTTAGAAGGGATGGGTTTCATGAGCTACAGTCACAGGAGATAAAACTTACAACAAAAAATATACGTATTTTTATTTATTTCAACAGTCTACCAACCTGTGCCGAAAATGTAGGCAGGTGATTATCTGCGGATTTACAACGCTAGAAAACGGGTTTCGATACCCGTGGTGGGCAGAGCACAGATAGCCCATTGTGTAACTTTTTGCTTAACTTCAAAAAGACAAATACTCAGTGGCTCGGGAAATTGTAAAATGAAGAAAAAAATCGGTGTTTTAGTGTTTGTCTAGACAAATAACCATTTCCACAAAATTAGTATTCGACTGTATTGTATCACATACCTTGTATTAATTTTCTGTGTAAAAAGATCACTTTCCTGTTCTCTAAGTTTACCAAGATTTTCATATCACAGACAGATAAGAGTAATAATGTTTAAAGTAATACTCTTTTTAAATTAATATTATATGTATACACCAACACCCGGCTTTTACCGAATGCCAAACCCACATGCAGACATTTTCTAAATGCCTAGGGAAATTGTAAAATGTAGAATAAATGCCCGTGTTTTACTATTTGCCCCAAATTTGCTGTTCGTTTGTGATATATATATATTTAAATTTGGCGAAATTATAAATTTCCAAAACCTTTTTTTAGAACAATTGTTACAGGTATTAAAGTAACCATGCAAGTTGCCCCCAGTGGCACGGCGGTATGCCTGCGGATTTACAACGTTAGAATCCGTGTTTCAATACCCGTGATGTGTGAAGCTTTGTGCTTAATTACAAACAAACAAACCATGCAAGTTGACCTATTTACTACCTTTGAGTTTTAAAAACATTAAAAAAAGTTAATTTAGGAAACTGTACAACTTACATAGACTTGTTTAACATGTAAAAAGTTTAAGACTGAGTTTTAAGTTTTAAAACTGGACGTGCAGTATTTTATCAAATTTGCGAATACTTATTGTTCCTGCATTGGAGCATGAGAAAGTTTTACTTGAATCAAATGTATTTTAAGTTGAATTATTTTAGTTGAGTCAAGTGTGTATTAAGTTGAATTATTTTAGTTGAGTCAAGTGTGTTTTAAGTTGAATTATTTTAGTTGACTCAAGTGTGTATTAAGTTGAATTATTTTAGTTGAGTCAATTGTGTATTAAGTTGAATTATTTTACTTGAGTCAAGTGTGTATTAAGTTGAATTATTTTAGTTGAGTCAAGTGTGTATTAAGTTGAATTATTTTAGTTGAGTCAAGTTTGTATTAAGTTGAATTATTTTAGTTGAGTCAAGTGTGTTTTAAGTTGAATTATTTTAGTTGAGTCAAGTGTGTTTTAAGTTGAATTATTGTAGTTGAATTGTGTGTTAAGTTGAATTATTTTAGTTGAACCAAGTGTGTATTAAGTTGAATTATTTTAGTTGAGTCAAGTGTGTATTAAGTTGAATTATTTTATTTGAATCAAGTGTGTTTTAAGTTGAATTATTTTAGTTGAGTCAAGTTTGTATTAAGTTGAATTATTTTAGTTCGATCAAGTGTGTATTAAGTTGAATTCTTTTAGTTCAGTCAAGTGTATTTTAAGTTGAATTATTTTAGTTGAGTCAAGTGTGTATTAAGTTGAATTATTTTAGTTCAGTCAAGTGTGTTTTAAGTTGAATTATTTTAGTTGAATCAAGTGTGTATTAAATTTAATTATTTTAGTTGAGTCAAGTGTGTTTTAAGTTGAATTATTTTAGTTGAGTCAAGTGTGTTTTAAGTTGAATTATTTTAGTTGAGTCAGTATGTTAATTGAACCAAGTGTGTGTATTAAGTTGTAGTACGTTACTTAAGTGTCTATTAATTTGAAATCTTTTTTTCCATAAAGTGCGTTTTATTGCGTTCTTTGTTTCTATTTTAAATATGTATTTTCAGTAAATATAGGAGACAAATGCAGCTACAGGGTGATAAACTTTGAAAGAAGTGATAAAAATATTTGTCGTGAGAAAACTAACTATATACTGTCAACTCTTCTGTCAACGTTTGATCACCTACTTCTCATTTCATCTTCTGTGTATTTACCCAGTTTTTTACCACCATGACAGTGTTTAAAATATTTCCTTGGCACAGTATTTGAGTCTCTACTAGGTAATCTGGCACTGTAAGGTAAAGTTCCCTCGAGGTTTCATCCTGAACGAGTTCTTCGCACAAGTCTTAGCTCAGTACTTTTGTGTGTGTGGAAACTAAACGTATAATTTGAATAGAAAGTTGTACATTTCAACTTGAGTTGTAAAATGTTTCCTTACGTTAAATCTTAACGGAATCTCGTTTATAATCCCTACAACTGATTGATACAATGAGATTTATAAAGGTAATAAATGACTAAGTTGTAAACCGGTAAATTATGTAAATATTTTGTACAATCAAAACGTACGGTAGTGTGTCGTGCGGCCAAAACAACCTTGTGGATACACTGCGTTATTAACAAGAGCGATTTTCCACGTTCTGTAACTCGGACTGTGGTAATCCAAACTATCATTGGATGTGCTTTACTGGAACCTTACTTCACATATCAGATTTTAAGGTAATCCATTAAGAAATACATGAAATATAAAATATAAAAATATATAAACAGAAAAACGTACTTAATTTGCATGGATTTTTTTTTTCAAATTTGGTATATTGATAGACCTTTACAATCTACAATTGGATGTTAAATTCGGTCTAAATAAAAGCCACATGTGAAAAGTTATTTAATAAAAACAATTCTGTTTTGTTCAACTTGGGGCATGGTAGTGGGTAAAACAAAATACGTGGCCTGTTTTTCTGTCAAATAAAGTTTTCGTACTTTCGGTGAGAAAAAATTCAATTAAAATTGGAGATTTTATATCTCGTGTATTTCTGAATGGATTGCCTTGAAATTTGGTATGTGAAGTAAGAGTCCAGTAGAGCATCTCTACTGAAAATATGTGTTAGTTTGGATTACCACAGCCCGAGCTACGGAAAGTGGAAAGCTGCTAAACTATCACTCCTGTTAATAACAAACGAATGGTTTTAATTTCGCTAGTATGCATATTTCTAGTCCCCAAACGAGGCTCGCATGCTGTGACGTCATAGTTGTGGTTGCTATTCGAGACCTCGTACAGTATCTGATGGAAAAACGTTTGTGTTTATGTAGAATAACTTAATTTAATAATTAAATATAATTAAGAACAATTTTTATTACTTTATAATGCTTTATGAAGGTGTATTAAGGACATTAAACACTAAACTAGTAGAAATGGACAGTTTTCGAGTGAGATTACCTCGATTCACACTTCACAATGTATTAAACTATTCTCTGTGAGTTTGAAGTAATGTTACTTGTAAATCACGCAATGGTAAGAAGAATGCTTTACAGGCACTTAACTGAAACAATTTCAATCACTCTTTTGATGAATATATGTGTAATATAGAGTAATTTACAAAATAAGTTCTGACAGAGTTTTGTGTCGAAAACAATTATTTTACCAAGCTGGATTATCAGTTCGTACATCTTGACTTTGAGGCGGCTGGGTGTGCGAAATGTTTTCCTCAGTCAGATGAGAGATTTCTTCAGTTTCAGGATCGTTGTTTGAATTTTTTGACAATAGTTCAAACTGACACGATTGAACGTTGTCTACTGGTCTACATAGCTTGTGTATTCTAAATCCACGATCCGATGTTGACTGACGAAAGATGGTCTCCTTTTTCGTCATTCGGACACTGCCTCGTTAAATCTCGG